AACTTTAAACTATATTGTTTTATTTAATTAAAATTCAATTCAAAATTTAAAAATTCATCTTATTAAATGTTGATATTTAAATTGAAAAATTAATTATATTAGAATATATAACTAGTTTCCAAATCTATGTATTAATATTTAATATGGTGGATTTTTTAATTTTAAATTGGGATTTTAGTTTCTGAATGTAAGTTGGGACTCCAATTCTTTTGGAAGTAGAGACAAATACGCATTTTGTTTTTTGATAATAATTATGCGCACTTTTATTCATAATTATGAGTAACAGGATTAGTACAAAATTGATCAAAAGTACGCTCCCCTGTTACAAGATGTGCAATAAACTTTGGTGTTTCCCCAAACCAAATTAGATCATCCTCTGCTTGGAGCGCCCTTCTTGCTAGTTCGTGTGCTACGGAATTCCCATTGCGACCAACATGTTGCAGGCGGCAGATGGTGAAAGAGGCCATGAGATTTTTGCAATCCATTAGAATATGTCGAAGACTGGAGTTGAAGCAGTAAGTATCACAATTGATTGCTGTGACGATGCTTGCACAATCAGTCTCCACAACAACCTTGTCGAGCATAAGGTCTTTCGCCCATTTCAAAGCTTGTCGCAGGCTACATGCTTCACTTACCTCAGTCGAGACCAACCCCTGTTCCTTAGACATCATGGCAGATACCACCTCCCCTGATGAGTCGCGAGCCACAGCACCTGAGCCATAAATTTTCTGCTGTGCAGAAATTGCTCCATCGACGTTAATCTTTACAACTCCCGCATCAGGTGGTCTCCATTGTGTTTCACTTCGCCTTTGTACACTGGCAGCCCCTCGCCCTCGTGACAACAAAGCAGCATCATATTCCTTTAGAAAAAATAGAGCTTTCCGTATGATTTGTTAAGGGTCTATGGTCTTGCACTCCCACAAGGCCTCATTTCTGCAGCACCACAACTTCCAGCACAAGATACAAAAGAGGCTCAGTTTCTTGGAATCCAAAATGACTAGCAAAGCATCAAAGAAGTCCGCAAAGTTGTCTACAGGGAGCTCTGAAACTCTAAGAGTTAGAGGGGAACCCAACCACACTGCTCGGGCCACAGGACAGGTCATAAAACAGTGAGCAGCAGTTTCAGTATCCACGTGGCACATTGGGCACTCAAGATCCATAGCTATCCTTTTCTGTCGCAAATTTTCCATAGTAGGAAGAATGTCCCTATATGCACTCCAAACCAGTAGGCGAATTTTCTCTGGAATATTTAGAGACCACAGACGACTTCCTCGAAATGAAGTGGAAGAACTAGAGGGGTCAGTGGGGGGTCTTCGCATTCGGATAGCCTGATGATATCCAGATCGAATTGAGTAATTCCCATCTTGTGTGAAAAGCCATGTCCAGCCATCGTTCCTCCTCATCCAGCTTAATGGTATCGACATTATTAATTGCGCTTCATGAAGGTTGAAATTTTCCATAACCATGTCTCGCCTCCATGTACAGGTGTTCTCATCTATAAGATCACTCACATACATAAGCTCAAATCCCTCTGGTCGCAAGGATTGGATTAGACCCTGAGTACCACCAGGAAGCCAAGGGTCGTCCCATATAAGTGTGCTTCGACCGTCACCAATCAATCGTCTACAGCCCTGTTTAAGCAATTCCTTGGAAGACCAGATGCTTCTCCATATCAAACTTGATGTGGGCTTCAGTTCTGAGTTTAAGAAGTCACTGCAGGGAAAGTATCTAGCTTTTAACATTTTTGTTGCTAGTGAGTCAGTGTTAGCCAGCATCCTCCAACCTTGCTTAGCCAACATTGCAATGTTAAATTCATGAAGAGCCCGAAAACCCAATCCACCATATTTCTTCGGTAAGGCTAGTTTTTTCCACCCCATCCAGTGGATTTTGTGAACATCGTCTCCTCCTCCCCACCAATACTTATTCATTATGTTCTCCAACTCCGTGCATTATGTGAGAGGAAGACAAAAGAGCCCCATAATATAGGTAGGGAGAGACTGCAATATTGATTTAATCAGAACTT